ATTGCCATGTAGTATTCCATGGTATAGATAAACCACATCTTCTTGATCCATTCGTCCGTTGATGGACACTTAGGCTCTTTCCATGTTTTGGCTATTGTTGAGAGTGCTGCTATGAACATTGGGGTCCATGTGCCCCTATGCATCAGCACTCCTGTATCCCTTGGGTAAATTCCTAGCAGTGCTATTGCTGGGTCATAGGGGAGTTCTATTTTTAATTTTTTGAGGAACCTCCGTACTGTTTTCCAGAGGGGCTGCACCAGTTTACATTGCCACCAACAGTGTAGGAGGGTGCCTGTTTCTCCACATCCTCGCCAGCATCTGGAGTCCTCTGATTCGCTCATTTTAGCCACTCTGACTGGCGTGAGGTGGTATCTCAGTGTGGTTTTGATTTGTATTTCCCTGATGAGGAGGGATGCTGAGCATCGTTTCATGTATCTGTTGGCCATCTGGATGTCCTCTTTGGAGAAGTGTCTGTTCATATCTTCTGCCCATTTCTTCACTGGGTTGTTTGTTTTTCGTCACCTCATTCTTTCTACCTGCTCCTCAGTTTCTTTGACTATTTTGGTTGACAGTCCCTCTCTCCTTCCCCTCAATCATGTTTTGCCAGATAGCCTTCTTCTTAAATATATTTTCTGTGGGCGTATTATTTTTTTTCCCTCATAGTCTCAACTATTACTCATATGTGTACGACTCCTAGATCTGTATCCCCTTCCCTAAACTCTCTTTGGGATTCCATCCCAGAGTTCCAAACCCTGCTGTGGCCGGTGGGATGAGGCGGACCATAGGAGTCTTACCCAAGCTGGTGGTAAAATGTGCTTTCAGGTTTCTTTTCAGCCCTTTTATTCCACCTGCTCCCCCCCCCCCTTTTTTTTTTTTACTCTTCCTTTAACTGTTCTTCAACCCATTTGGCTGTTTTCATATCATTCTGGCTTCCTTTAGCCTGTGTTAAAACAAACAAGCTTAACTAACGCCAAATTGCCCCCCTCCGGTCATTTTATAACAAAAGCTCTCCCTTTCCCTCTGTTTTTGTCCTCACAAAATTTCCTTTTCAAGATTTCAAAGGAAACACTTATTGAGAAGATAATCACTATTTTCTTTTTCCTTTAAGGTATTTAACAGGCTAAATACCAAATATTTACATTTTAAATGTCAGCCTAATTGAGGAGTGGTCTATCTCTGCCTGGGAGAAGGAGGGGTGGTGGAAAGTGGTGAGGAGTCTGTTTGAAACCCTTAAGGTCTCTAACCTGAGAAATGGAAAAAAGAATAGCAAATAAAGCACTCCATTGAGAGGAACTGGGACTAATTCACCCACTTTCTTCCCCGGATCATCTGGAATTTCCTTAGGTGTTCATCCTGAGAACAGTGTAAGGGAATGAGAAGGCCAAAATTTAAGCAAGAACTCAGAAAAGTTAGACCGCTCAAGACCAAAAAAAAAAAAAAAAAAAAAAAAAAAAAAAAAAAATCATTCTCATCCCGCTGGTTTATATCCACATTCAGACTTTTAAAGGCACATTTTTACCTACAGCTATCCATTGAAACCACCCGAAGGGAAATTAGAAAGGAGAGGCATTGCAGTACCATTTCGGGTTCCTCCAAGGGCTTAGTGTTTATAACAGCAACAATTACCTCTGTAACAATTCCTCCAGGGTAGTTTTGTTTAAAGGTGCCTAACTTACGTACTTCACCCAACTTCTTTCAAAACTGTTCAGTCCTTCCCGGTGGAAGTTAAAATACTATCTGTATCTCAGCTCTCGTGCTGTACCAGCAAGGCAGTACCATGAAGGCATGCTTTTTACATCATGGGCACGTTGCTACGCACCTTGGCAGCAAGGTGCTTTAAAGAGGCCAAGAGCTCGTGCGTGCTGTGTGCCGAATTACCGGCCCTGCAACCTGTGCACGTAAGATGCTTTCTCCCTCCCTTTTGCACTAAAAACAACCCCCGGCCCCCCAACAAATCCAGCAGGCATCAAAACCGTCCGAGCGCCTGGGGAAAGCGCGCCAACCACACAAAGAAAAGGAGGGGGGCTACAGGGATTCAAAATCATTTCCCCAGGACGAACACCCTCCTGGACCTATCGGAGTTAACTGCGCGCTTGGTCGTAGCCAATAGACACAGTACTTCAGGTTCAGTTCCACCCTGAAGGCTGATGGACATCCGTGGCGTCCAATGAAACAGTGCGATGCTCAAGAATTAACCAATACATTCGGGAGGTGGGTGGAGTGTAGGCCAGGGGGTTGGCGGTGCCGTGTCATGGAGGCTCAGTCTCGCAGCAGCCATTGAAGGGGAAGGAACTGCGGGTGTGTGTGTGTGTGTGTATGTGTGTGTGCGCGCGCGCGTGTGTGCGTGTGAGTGCGCGCGAGTGTGTGGACAAGGAGGTGGGGGCAGTCGAGTTAGAGTCCCAACTCCTTGGACTCCATTTGCTATTCTCTTCTTTCTCCCCCACACCTATCTGGTGGTGGTGGGCGTTTATATTTGCTTTTCTTTTCATTCATTTCCACATCTTTTACAATTTAAGGGTTGGGGTAGTGGGAAAGGCAGGAGAGGGTAAGGGAAGGGAGGAGTAGCAGAAGAGCAGGAGGAGGACATGGAGATGAAGAAGAGGATTAACCTGGAGTTAAGGAACAGAGCCCCGGAGGAGGTGAGATGACTCAGCCCCCTCCCCTTCCCCACCAGACCTGTATTTGGAAGATCGGCTTTCTCGGGGTCCGAGTGGGTGTGTGAGGAGGGGTGTTGAATTAACCCCCACCCGGGGGTTACGGTTTGGGAAGAAATGTTCAATTTTAAGTGCTAAATCATTAAAATCTTCTACTTAAAAATGGCGAAGGGCTTAAGTTTCTAGGGGCGTTTTTGTGTGTGCCCGGGGGTTTAGCCTCCTTCAGCCCTCTGGGAGTCGGGAGTCCTGCCCCGGTGGGGGGCAGGAAGCGGGGTGTCGGGGGCTGCTCCGCCGCTTCGTTCCCTCCTCCTCCTCCTGGGGGCCGGTGGCGTGGGCGCGACCCCCCAGTCCCGCTTGCCCCCGCTGCAGCCATCGTCGCCTGAGAAGTTAGTCCAACTTTTCTGCAACGCTGCCAACTCTTTTTTTCTTTTTTTCGGGGGTTGCCCGCGGCCTCGAGGCCCCTGGGTGTCTGGCGTCGCGCCGGGCGCGGGCTGGGGTCCCTGGTGGAGCCCGCCGGCCGCCGGCTGCGCCCACTCCCCGGGGAAGCGGCGCGCGCCGCCCGCCGCCGGGCGGAATCTGGGTCAGCGGTCGGTGCCCCGGGCGCCGCTAAGTTTTGGGAGTCGTCGCGGAGAGCGGAGGTGGGGAGGGGACGCGAGGCATAATCCCTTCGGGCTCCCCGCGGTGTAATGCCACTCGGCGTGTCGTGTCGTAGCGGCCGCCACTCCGAATTTGATCCCGGGAGAAGGTTTCACGCAACTCAACACAGGGGCCGTAGTAGTTTTGTGCTGTAAAGCTGGGCTCGGCGAAACTAAATGATGCGCTCTTGCTGCCGTCGCCTCAGTTAAAGAGACGGGGTTGGGAGGGGCCACGTGAGGCGGGTCGCGGCCAACTTTTCGGGGGTCGGGCGGGAGGCGTTTCCGCCGCCTGCTAGAGGGCGCTTCCTCGGCGGCGCCTAGCCCTCCCCGCCCCGGGCGGAGGCGCCGGGAGCGCGGGCGGGGAGGCGACCCCCTGTCCCCGGGCGGAGTCCCCGCCCTGTCCGGGGTTTCCCGCGGGTCGGAGCTGCGGGTCGCGAGAGCGGGGCCCGTGGCCGCGAGGAAGCCCGCCCTTGACTGAGATCGCCGGGGCGAGCGTCGAGAGTCCTGTTACTTGCGGCCTCTGAAATAAACACGGGAGGTGGAGGAGGAGGACGTAGTTGTTCCCAGCAGGGGTGGGGGTGGTGCCTGCGGACCGCAGCGCCGGGGACCAGGGGACCCTTCGGTGGGCTGTGGCGGCATGCAGACTGGGAAACCGAGGTCTTTACGTACTTTTTTTTTTAAGTCCCCTTTTCTCTGAAGTTGGCAAAGGGCGGGGAGGAGGAAACAGTGTCGCTGCTATCATCCCAGAGAGAGCTGGGAGTTTTCTAGGGACGCATCTTTGGGGGCCTCGGGAAAACAAACAAACAAACAAACAAAAAACAGCTGCCGCTCAGAAGCACACGTGTAGATGCTCTTGTATGTCTTAGTTTGGAAACGTGACTTTGCTCCCCTGTCCCCCCTTTCATTTACCTTCCCTAGCCGTCGTAATTTCCTTGCCAATTTCGGGGAGTGCCGGATGTTGCCTTTTTGCTGCCTCGCCTTCCTCCCCTGTGGTGTAATAACGGTCTCTTGTGTTTGTATGGCTCTTTACAGTTGACAAAACATGTTTGTTTTTGTTATTTACCTTTCTCCTTCGAGGGACTTGTAAGGTGGATTGTATTGTTCTAGAATCCAAATTAGCAAACGGGAGTCCCGGGGCAGTGAAGTTACTTACTCAAGTGGAAGAACTGGTTTTCTGACACCAAATCTGGTGGCCCTCTCCCCTCCACTCAGCTGGACTAGGAGTCCGAAGATTTTTTGGGGTGGGGGGCGCGGGAGGGCACAGCTCTGTCATCCAAACTATGTGACGTTAGCCAAGTCATTCTTACCCTTCGGGCTTTGGCTTTCTTACCATTAAACAGGAGATCGTATGCCTTCTCTGGTCTCTGAAATAATTATGTCAAAGTCATATTCAACTAGAGAAGGTGGCATTCCTTGTTGCTAATTTTTAGCCCTCCAAATACTTCAAAAGCCAGGGTCTCCTGTGCCCCCCTTAAGATTAAGTCCTCTTAGGTCCACCCCAGCAAGTTTTGTTCTACAACTCTGACCTAATAGAGGATGCAGCCCCCCCCCCCCCCCCCCCCCCCGCCCCGCCACGATGGGGAGAAACAAAAATGCTACCTGAGTGTTACAGAGAAATAACATTTTGTCAAGGATGTATCATTCTGGGTGACGTTGTTTGGCCCCTCTAAGAGCCAGCTTTCTCAGAATGAGCTTTCTAACATTTCTTCATGAAGAGTAGTAAGGTATTTTGGAGTTATGGTGGCATTTAGCAACCCAAGACCAAGGAATTTAAACTGGAAACGTGAACAAAATAGTTTCCTTTCTTCTCCCTTATCTTTAGGGCAGCTCGCCTGAATCCTTTGTCGGGAGCCTAGGCGTCCCCTCACTGCGTAAATATATGCCCTGACGTGTAAAGTCCTTCTCATCAGGGGCAGAAGCAAGTTTTCACATGGGACCTTTTCCAAAGTTTTATTTTTTCTGCATCAGTGACTTGAACAGGCATTGAACTTCTTGGTCTGAGTTTCAATGTAAAAGGTTAACTTATAATGATACTTTAGATTGTATTTCAATTTTTGTTGGGGGATGAGAGAATGAAAAGGATCTGTGCGAGGGGATTGATGTGTGTGTGTGTTTTTTTAAAGTCTATTTTGTGAGAGAGAAGGCACGAGTGGGGGAGGGGAGAGGGAGAGGGAGAATCCCAAGCAGACTCTGCACTGACAGCAGAGCCCAAGGTGGGGCTCAAACCCACAAGCCACAAGATCATGACATGAGCCAAAGTCTGATGCTTAACTGACTGAGCCACCCAGGCACCCCAGGACAGATGATTTTAATGTTCATATTTCCAGTGTGTCAGGATCTAGATCTTTTGCTAAACAGACTGCAGAGTAAATAATCATTTATTTTCTGTCTTACAGGTGACAGAATTAGTCCTTGATAATTGCCTATGTGTCAATGGGGAAATCGAGGGCCTGAATGATACTTTTAAAAAACTAGAGTTTCTGAGTATGGCTAACGTGGAGCTAAGTTCACTGGCCCGGCTGCCCAGCTTAACTAAACTTCGAAAGGTAAGTTGGCATTAAGCTTGAAATCATCATACTTTTGAGGCCGGGGGCTAATGTGTCTAGGTTTTGGCCAAACGAAACGACCATTTTGCCTTTTAATTAGAAGTTTCCAAATTTCTAGAGATAAGGAAAAAGGTTATGTAGGATTTTGGAATCAGCTCTAATAATGCTTTTAGAAATTTAAATTTAATAACGAAATTGCTTTATGACATGAATTTGGATTTAATGTCTACTGAATATTTTTCTCTGAAACACAAAATCCAACTATAACACAACTGGAGCCAAACCTGGGTTATAAGCTTACTATGCAGGGGTTCTAATGAATTATCTGGTAACTGTAGGTGGGATTTTGGAAATTAATAATCTGTGACAGGTTTTTGAGGGCAGAGAGAACGACAACTGTTTTTCTTCTTCAAATGGGATAGATTTTGAAAATCTGATCCGCTCCAAGCCTTCACCATTGTTTGTTTTCTCTCCGCATTGAATATATAGTTGGAACTTAGTGACAATATAATTTCGGGAGGCTTGGAAGTCCTGGCAGAGAAATGTCCAAATCTTACCTACCTCAATCTGAGTGGAAACAAAATCAAAGATCTCAGTACAGTAGAAGCTCTGGTAAGTGGGAAGTCTCTGGACTTGCTCTTTTTTGGTTGATTTTCTGAGATTTGCTTCTGTTTTATTTTATTTTATTTATTGTTTTACAAATAGTTTATTGTCAAATTGGTTTCCATATAACACCCAGTGCTCATCCCCACAAGTGCCCTCCTCCATGCCCATCTCCCCCCTCCCCCCCACATCCATCAGTCCTCAGTTTGTTTCTCAGCATTCAAGAGTCTCTCATGGTTTGCCTCTCTCCCTCTCCCCCACCATTTCCCCCCTTCTTCTCCCCCTTGTTCCTCCGTCAAGTTCCTCCTAACCCTCCTATACGTGCAAACATATGATATTTGTCCTTCTCTGCCTGACTTATTTCGCTCAGCATAACACCCTCAAGGTCCATCCATGTTGCTACACATGGCCAGATTTCATTGTTTCTCATTGCCATGTTGCTTCTGTTTTATTGCTTTAGATTTCACTCTTTGAAACTTTTGAATTTCTTATATGTTTTGATCCAGATGGTTACTGCATTTTCTTCATCTAAAGATTTTTTTTAATGTTTATTCATTTTTGAGAGAGAGGGAGAGAGAGAGAGAGGGAGGGAGGGAGACTGGGCATGAGCAGGGGAGGGGCAGAGAGAGAGAGAGACATGGAATCCGAAGCAGGCTCCAGGCTCTGAGCTGTCAGCCCAGGGCCTGACGCAGGGCTTGAACACAGGGACCACGAGATCATGACCTGAGCTGAAGTTTGATGCTTCACCGACTGAGCCACCCAGGTGCCCCTGCTGCTCTGATTTTTAAAAAGCTTGGGAGGCGGTCAAAACTGTTGACAATAAGCTTGACTAGAGTTAAGCCAACCACTATATTGCTGTTGTCTATTTATGCACGTATTTTGTCAACAAAATCATTCTGATTCCAAATATGCGTGAATCAATTCTGGCTCGTGAATGAAAAAGAAATGATACAGTATTTCAACTCTTGAAATGTAAGCTTTAACGTTTTACTTTTCCAGCAAAATCTTAAGAATTTGAAAAGCCTTGACTTGTTTAACTGTGAGATCACGAACCTGGAGGATTACAGAGAAAGTATTTTTGAACTGCTGCAGCAAATCACCTACTTAGATGGATTTGATCAAGAGGACAACGAGGCACCGGACTCAGAAGAGGAGGATGATGAGGGTAATCATCCTTATGCCTGTAAATATAGCCTCCAGTCTAGCCGTGTCACTTAGATTGGGCCTGGGTATTTAGATGTTGGGGAAAAAATTCTTTTAGAAGAAAAATTAAAAAAACTCAAACACTAATCCTGTATTTCTCCTTTAAGATTTCTGATAGTTGATGATTTACGTATTATTTATTATGATAGTATCAAGCTCCGAGAAGTTTTACATCTGTAAAAGCAATGTAACCACCACCTAATAAAAGTGGCAACTTTTAAAATAGTGCTTTTTTTAAAAAAAGGAACCATTCCTTGCCGTGTTATCTGTAATAGCCAAGAAATAGAAACAACCCAAATGGCCTATCAACTGATGGAAAAACAAAATGTGATATGTCTGTGCCATAAAATATTATTCTGTCATAAGAATGAGTGGGGCGCTGATACATGCTATAGCATTGAAAACATTCTGTGAAGTGAAAGAAGCCAGACAAAAGGCCACATTTTGTGACTTCATTTATTTTTATTTTTTTAAATGTTTTATTTATTTCTAGGAGAGAGAGACAGCGTGAGCAGGGGAGGGTCAGAGAGAGAGGGAGTCACAGACTGAAACAGGCTCCAGGCTCCGAGCTGGCAGTCAGCACAGAGCCCGACGCGGGGCTCGAACCCATGAACCGCGAGATCATGACCTAAGCGAAAGTCGGAAAGTCGGACGCTTAACCGACTAAGCCACCCAGGCGCCCCTTGTGACTTCATTTATATGACATGTCCGGGATAGGCATGTTCTCAGCAGATTAGAATAGTGGTCACCAGGGCTGGGGGAGAGGAGACTGGGGAGTGACTATAAATGTGTGTGGGTTTTTTTGAGGGGTGATGGAACTGTTCTAGAATTAGATAGTGAACATACATTTTTGGTTAAATGGGTGACTGACAGATCCCCATATGACAGAATGGATCTTATTAGTTATGGGATACTGTTTGTTATTCTTTGTTGAAAAGTGTTTTTTGTTTTTAAGTTTATTTATTTTGAGAGAGAGTACATGAGAGAGTGCAAGCAGGGGAGGGGCAGAGAGAGAGAGAGAAAATCCCAAGCAGGCTCTGTGCCAACCACAGAGCACAATATGGGGGCTCCATCTCATGAATCTTGAGATTATGACCTGCTCAAAGGAAAGACCTCATAAAAGTTTTTTACTGTAAAGGGGTGCCTGGAGGGGCTCAGTCGGATAAGTATCTGACTTTGGCTCAGGTCGTGATCTCAAGGTTCATGGGTTTGAGCCCCGCGTCGGGCTCTCTGGCTGTCAGCAGGGAGCTTGCTTGGGACCCTCTGTCCACGCCTCTCCCTCCCCTCCCCCTCCTCTGCTCACGCTCCCTGTCTCTCAAGAATAAATAAACGTTAAAAAATTTTAAAAAGTTTTTTGCTCTAAAAAGAAGTTTGATGGATGAACAATGTTAGAAAATGACGGAATGGGATGATAGGTAAACAGGCCTTGAAGTGCCCACAGGGCAAAACAAACTTTAGTTCACGTAACGTTGTGTGGGAGACATTTCAATATTTAGAAACCGTATTTCTCAAAGAGTCGATGAGAATATCACAAAGGGAAGTCTTTAAAAAAAAGAACATCACCCTGAGATACCTTCCACTTTGAGGCGATTGGGTCAACAGCAAAAATAGGATCGGCTCACTAGCAAGAAACCTTTAGCCCGTCCATTTGCTCATCTTCCCAACTGTTTTTAAAGATGGAGATGAAGATGATGAAGATGAAGAGGAACATGAAGCTGGTCCACCTGAAGGCTATGAGGAGGAGGAGGAAGAGGAGGAGGAGGAGGAGGAGGAGGAAGACGAAGCAGGCTCAGAACTGGGAGAGGAAGAGGAAGTGGGCCTCTCCTACTTGATGAAAGAAGAAATCCAGGTGAATTAGGCGCTTTTCCCCTGCCCTGCAAACCGTGTAGGCCTCAGGCCAAGTCCTGAAGTAGCAAGTCGTGTCGGAATCTGAAAGTTGTTCCTAACTTGTGGGTCTGCATGTATCTGTGTGCCTGTCCTTCCCCCTCACCCCCTGCAGTCCCCCAGCCCACACTGCATGCAGACGATCACACACACCTGGGGATTTCACCACCCAGCTCGCTTTCAAAACCTCTCTGCCCTCGGTGGCATGGAATGGCTGAGAACATTTTACAAAAGTTTCTTTTATAAATGCAGCTTCCGCATTTATGAAGCAGAGATTATACCAACCTCTTCGGATTATTTTAAGGATCTGACAAAGTGATACCCATGAAGGATCTGGTCCCTGGCATGTCATGGGCCCCCAAGAAGACTTTTCTTTCCCCTAATCATTCCTTGCTCATGGTTTTGTAGCAGCTTTCCAAACGGTGTCTCTGAGTAGTGTTTCCACACAGGTGTATGGTCCGCGGGGTATGCCTGGCTGCTCGGAATGCCAGTGTGATCGTGTCCCCGGGCAGCCAGAATCACCGGGTTGCCCTGTTGCCACCAATATATACAGGGCCCAGCGCTTCAACGCCAACCGCCCCCCCCCACCTCTTCTCCCTCAGTACAAACTGAACTGGCCACCAGGCTACTTCTTGCCTTTCTGTCTGTAGACACACTGTTGACTCTCTCCGCAGGGACTTTCCACCCATGCTCTCTGGCGAACTCTATTTCCTTTCTTACTGAGGGAAACAGAGGTACAGTAAAGCTGGTGAAGTACACGGGTTTTATGTACAAGCTCGTGAGCTTTCACTTAGGTATCTATCCCCCTGACCGCCACCCAAACCAGGCATTGTAAACTCTTTAGACGCTTGGTCCTGGAGTTGCCCCATTATTGAAGCTGTCTCTAAGTTTTCTGAGACGACCGCTTCTTCCCCCGTTACCTTTGAACCTTGATTAGGGTTCCATTGCCTGTAGGCACTTATTGCAAAAACTTGTTTATTTGGCCACTTTCACCCAGATGGTGAGCTCCTCAAGGGCATGGTCATTTCACTTTGTGTCTCAGCGTCTGGTATCTTGACGGGAACGTAGTAAGCTCGCAGGAAACGTCAGTTGACTCGAACAAATGATCTTCAGCCCCTGGGAATTATTTTCTCCAAATGTTTTTAAGTTATTGTTTTGTGTTAATAATTCAAAGTTTTTTATTATTAAAAATGATGTCTCTTGATTTAGGCTAGAAATTGTTAGTATTCTTTGTTTTCCTAATGACCTTTACATTGGTTAGATAGATAATATCACTGATTGATGATAATTTTTCTCTGATATCATTTTATTTTTATTTATTTATTTTTGGGGGGGAGGAGCATAGAGAGGGAGAGAGGGAATCTCAAGTAGGCTCTGTGCTACCAACACGGAGTCCATCCTGGGACTTGATTTCACAAACCAGGAGATCACAGCCTGAGCCAAAATCAAAAGTCAGGTGCTTAACCGACTGAGCCATCCAGGCACCCCTAGTAGTTTAAAAATGATTTAAACATTTTTTTTAATGCTTATTTATTTTTGAGATAGAGAGAGACAGAGGCAAGCAGAGGAAGGGCACACAGATTCCGAAGTGGGTTCCAGGCTTCAAGCTGTCAGCACTGAGCCTGATGGGGGCTCAAACTCCCAAACCATGAGATCGTGACCTGAGCTAAAGTCGGATGCTCAACTGACCGAGCCACCCAGGCGTCTGCCCCTAAAAGTGACTTTGAACTGGGGCGCCTGGGTGGCTCAGTCTGTTAGGTGTCAGACTCTTGGTTTTGGCTCAGGTCACGATCTTGCAGTTCATGAGTTTGAGCCCTCTGCCAGGCTCTGGTGGCATGGAGCCATGCATCTCTCTTTCTCAAAATAAATGAACATTAAAAAAAAGAATAAAAAATAAAAAAGGCTTGGGGCGCCTGGGGGGCTTAGTCGGTTAAGCGTCCGACTTTCGCTTAGGTCATGATCTCGCGGTTCATGGGTTCGAGCCCCACGTCGGGCTCTGTGCTGACTGCCAGCTCAGAGCCTGGAGCCTGTTTCAGTCTGTGACTCCCTCTCTCTCTGACCCTCCCCTGCTCACGCTGTCTCTCTCTCTCTCTCTCCTAGAAATAAATAAAATATTTAAAAAAAAATAAAAAAAGGCTTAAACATATGAATCAACTTTTAAAAGTTTATTTATTTATTTTTGAGGGAGGGAGGGAGAAGGAGACAGAGAGAGAAGGAGGGAGAAGGAGAGAAAGGCAGAGAATGAATAAATGAATCCCAAGCAGGCTCAGAGCCTGAGCCAAAATCAAGAATCAGATACTTGGGGCGCCTGGGTGGGTCAGTTAGTTTAGCATCCAGCTTTGGCTCAGGTCATGATACCAGAGTTGAGCCCCACGTCGGACTCTATGTTGACAGCTCAGAGCCTGGAGCCTGCTTCGGATTGTGTGTCTCCCTCTTTGCCCCTCCCCCTGCTCATGCTGTCTCTCAAAAATAAATAAAATGTTAATTAAAAATAAAAGAGTCAGATACCTAACCGACTGAGCCACTCAGGTGCCCCATGAATCAATTAGTTTAACCACATTTTGTTTAAAACAGAATTGAGAGAAGTAGTTACCTTTTGAGAGCTGGGCTTTTCTAAATTAATCAAGAATACATGTGATCAGTATCTCCACTGTTTTTTTAAAAATTGCAAATATTTAAATATCCTCATTTATCATTCTTCACAGATTGGAGGTATTTAAAATGTGTCCCTTGTCTTTCCTTCTCTTTATTTCTTCCCCTTCCCCTCCCCTCCCCTCCTCTTCCCTGTCCTCTCTCTCCTCTACCCTTCTCTCTTCCTTTCTTTTCTCCTTTAGTTTACGGGTCTAGGTTCTCCTGATTTTTATTGTGGTTCCTTTCTGTCCTGTTTGCTCCCCCATCTTTTCCTTCTGCCTCTCGTAGCTTCGTGATGCTCTGGTGTAGAATGCTTTCCAGTATTTGAATTGCTTGTATAAGGTTGATTTCTGACCTGAGTGCTGTGCCGGTGAGTTTCTCAGGGGATCCTAGCTACATGCTGGGAAATTAGGTTCTGTTTAGTATTTCTAGACACTAGTGGGGCTGTGGATGCTGTGAAAAGGATGGGTTGTACACACTTTCCTTAAATACCCAGCAATTCTTGACATTTGCCAATTAAAGTATTTTTTTAATGTTTATTTATTTTTGAAAGAGATAGGGAGTGAGTGGGGAGGGGCAGAAAGAGGGGAGACACAGAACCCAAAGCAGGTCCCGCATTGTCAGCACAGAGCCCGATGTGGGGCTTGAACCCACGAACCATGAGATTATGAACTGAGCCAAAGTCGGATGCTTAACTGACTGATCCACCCAGGCACCCTGCCAATTAAAGTATTTTTTTTTTAATGTTTTATTTATTTGTGTGTGTGAGAGAGAGAGACAGTGTGAGCAAGGGAGGGTCAGAGAGAGAGGGAGATACAGAATCAGAAACCGGCTCCAGGCTCTGAGCTAGCTGTCAGCACAGAGCCTGATGCGGGGCTCGAATCCACGAACTGTGAGATCATGACCTGAGCTGAAGTCGGACACTTAACTGACTGAGCCCCCCCAGGCGCCCCAGTATTTTTAAGGAGCAGTAAACTTTTGTGGGGCTGGAGGGGAGGCCCTAGATTGGTTTCATTTTTTTTCAAACATACAGTTGAACTCAACAGTTTGGAACATGGCAGTAAGTGTGAAAGGCCTGAGTAGCCAATACAAAGTAACCAAAGACAAAAGGTCTTTGTAAGAGAGAGCTTAAGCTGTTATTCCAAACCTGTTTCCTCTTTTATATTCAAGTCTCTAATCTTATTGATCTATTTTCTGAATCCATAACAAATTAAAACTGAAGTAGTAACCTACTGGAAAGAGAAGGCATGAAAACTAGGAAAAGATACAATTAAAAGTGGAGGCCAGGGTCATTTGTAAAAGGGTGAAAAAGTGGTTAAACTAAAAAAAAAAAGTTATGTTTCAAGGCTATGTTCACAGCTTAGCTATTCTGAACAGCTCCTTCCACAAGACTTGTATATCAAGTTTTGTGATTTTATTAATATTGCTGTTTTGATGTGTAGATTTTTAGATGTAGAAGGAACTTTTAGATCTTTCTAGATGAATATTCTTTCTGTTAATTGGAAAACAGGTCCAGGGGCACCTGGGTGGCTCAGTCAGTTAAGCGTCCAACTCTGGCTCAGGTGATGATCTCACAGTTTGTGAGTTCGAGACCCGCCTCAGGCTCTGTGCTGACAGCTCAGAGCCTGGAGCCTGCTTCAGATTCTGTATCTCCATCTCTCTCTCTGCCCTTCCCCCACTCACGCTCTGTCTCTCTCAAAAATAAACAAACATTTAAAAAAATGAACAACAACAAAAAAAGGGAAACTGAGGTCCAGAGAGATTAAGTGACTTATTCAATGCATATAACTACGTTGGGGCTAGGATTCTCACTCTGTAAAATAGAGGACCTTTCTCTGAAATAGTCTAAAGTTACTGTGTCCATTATAGTAGCCACCAGAGATATTTGGTTATTTAAGTTAAAAAAAAATAAAATGAAAAATTCTCTTCCTCATTTGTACTGGTCACATTTTATTTTTTCAATTTATTTCATTTCTTTTTTAAGATTTTTTTTATTTTTAAGTAATCTCTACCCCCATCATGGGGCTTGAACTCACAACGGCAAGATCAGGAGTTGCATGCTCTAGGGTCCCTGGGTGGCTCAGTCTATTAGGTGTCCGACTTTTGGTCTTGGTTCATATCATTATGTCACAGTTTGTGGGTTTGAGCCTGGCATTGGGCTCCGTGCTGACAGTGTGGAGCCTGCTTGGGATTCTCTCTTCCCCTTTCTCTCCCTGTTCTGCTTGCATTCTCTCTCTCTCTTTCTCAATGGATAAATACACTTAAAAAAAAAAAAAAAGTTGCTTGGTCTGCTGACTGAGCCAGCCAGGCACTTGGTCACATTTTAAATACTCCGTAGCCACATGTGGACAGCGCAGATACAGAACATTTCCATTGTTGCAGAAAGTTCTTTTGAACAGTGCTGGTCTAAAACATAACTTATTTTTCGTAAAGAAACTAGATTTAGTTGGGTTCTTAGAAAACACTTAGGTAAGTTAGGCGGAGACTGTCAGACCATAGAATATCATTTTTGTGCTCTTGTTGGAATGTATTACTAGCAAACAGTGTAAAATATGGGTCATGGCTTTTTATTCTCAAACTGAATATTTGATTTCTAAGGATGAAGAAGATGATGATGACTATGTTGAAGAAGGGGAAGAAGAGGAAGAGGATGGTGAGTTACGTGAGCCACTAAAGAAACCCTAACATTCAAGTTACAGCTATTATTCATATACTTTAAAGAATGAGTCTGTAATTCAAATTATAATTGATATCTTTGGTTTTGATCTCTCACGGTACCAGAGATTTGATACCGTGATACCGTGATTGATATTCGGTACCGTGATTTGATCTCTCATGGTAACAGAGCACTGTGAGAGGTATGACACCTTTTTATTTCTTATAAAGTTGACTTAAGTAATCTCTATATTCAACATGGGGCTCAAACTTATGACCTTGGTTGGGATCAAGAGTCTTATGCTCCTTGTACCGAGCCAGCCAGGCACCCCTAAAACCCTTTTAAAAGAGTAATTTTCTCAGGGCATTCAGTAATTTCATTAAAAAAAATAGCTTGTAACACTTATTTTTATTAAAAACAATTTTTTTAATATTGATTTGGAGTACGCACGTGCGTGGGGGCAGGGTGGAGAGAGAGGGAGACACAGAATCGGAAACAGGCCCCAGGCCCTGAGCTAGCTGTCAGCACAGAGTCTGACGCAGAGCTCGAGCCCACAAACCGTGAGATCATGACCTGATCCGAAGTCGAATGCTCAACCAACTGTGCCACCCAGGCACCGCTCTTAAGATTTATTTTTAAAGAAGAGATAATGGGAGCTTGAGCCTTAGTTTATTTTTCTTAAGTCTTTCATTTTGAAGAGAGTGAAGCCTTATCTCTAGGAGAAGAGCAGTGGCATTCTCAAAGGATGCTCTCCAGTATTCTTTACCTAGGTCTTTCCAAATTAATTTAAAAATTCACTAATAATTCTTCTTGATCTATACTTCATAATTTGGCCACCAGGGGGCACAGCAAGCTGTCATTCTTTACGGATTTCTGTCCGAAGTACTTTTAATACACTGCAATTGAAAGATTTTTCAGAGAGGACACTTGAACCTGTATTTTTTTTTTTTATGCCATTAGGTTTTCACTAAGATTCAAAACTTTGTAATTGACCAAGTATTCATTTGTTAAAATTGAGCACTTTACAATTTCCCCTTCACTCTTCTTTCAGAAGAAGAGGGACTTCGAGGGGAAAAAAGGAAACGGGATGCTGAAGATGATGGAGACGAAGACGACGACTAGATCATTCTAAGACCAGATTCCCTAGAGGTCCTGGCTGTGCAATAGAGTGATCACATCTTCTTTGTTTCTTCATGTACCATAGTGAACCCTCCAGAAAATAACCCGTAACTTTTTATAGGAAAAGTGTGGTTTTACTATTTTTGCCTTATCATTCCAAATAAGATTTACTAGTCTGTTAATGATCATACTGTATGTAGAGAAAAAATTTTCATTGAGCCCATTGTGAAATTCCCTAGCAATTGATTTAGAATCTTCATTTTTCTCATTCAAGCTCACTGTATTAGTTATTTTTAGCTCCTAATTAAAACATGATCACTTTTACACAGGCGTAGTTTGGTGCATTTCATTCATAAGGTTTTAAAGTTATTTATAGTTAACTGAAATCATGGTCAGCTGGAATATGAAATGAAGTCTCTTGAATGAGAAGTTGGTTATTTTTTTAGAGGTGACCCAGAGACCTTTAGTTTGAAGGCAATGACTTCTTTTTTTTTTTTTTGGATGCTTTTTTGTGACTTGAGTAGCTTGGAAAGTAGGAGCAGAATAGTAAAGGTTCTACTCAACAGTATAATTTATGGCTTTTGTGGAGGCTTCTGAAACCTTTTCAAGTCAGGTGACTAAAGATTGTGTTGTTGAAGGAAAATTGCTTGCACAAAGCTCAGAGACATGCGGGTGAGCCCCCCCTTTTTTTTTTCAAGCTGAAGATCACAACATGCAGAGGGGTTGGTTATTTTGGTTTGTTTTTAAATGCATTCTTTCTTTTCCTCTCAGAAATTCCTTTATGATCACTTTCATTTCTTGTTTCACTCCTCTCCTTCTGTCTCAAAAAAAAAAAAAAAAAAAAAAGTTGGGAGCCTTCTGTGATACCCAGGAAAGCCTTTAGTTTTTTATACCTCAGCCACCTTTTCAGACTTCTGTTTCAAACAAGCTAAGTGAAAGAAACTGAGTACTTTCTGAGATATGAATATTATTACCAGTACACTTTTATGCAACAGGTCCTGCTTACTGTAAGTCATTTTTCATTGACAAGATGTACAGATTGTATTATTAGGATGAAGGGAAAAAAAGCAGAGGAGGCTTTTGGAAGCAGCAGTAATATTCCTCAAAAGTCAGAACAATTGCCTGTTGATAATGAATGAGATGTTCAAGTCAAATTTTCAAGTTCGCTTCCCAAATGATTTAGATACCACACTGCAAAGTATTTCTAACTTTTCTGAGTAGAACCTTTAATTATTCTTCCTATAGTTTTAAGGAATTACCAGATAGAGCTTTTAATTGGAGTATACTGGGCAGTTGGAAAATATTTGAAACTAAATCAATATTAAAAATTAAGATTTGGTTTCAAGTGGATGTCCATTAAAAATCGAAAAATATTTTGGGACGAACCACATGTTTCTACATATGGCTACTAAATATAATAACGATAGACAAGTACATCCCTGTTTTTATTGTGGAGGCTCCGTGGTCAAGGCCATTGCTTTTGCAATCTTGGCCATCTAAATGTTTTTCCACTTTGTTTTGGATATCTGGAAGTGTTTTTAAAGTTAGCATCAGCAAATTAATTGAAGTAACTGGGACACATGTAAATTACTGAGTGAAGAACTGGTTCTTTTTTAGTTTCAAATGTATGACTTGGGGTTTTAGAGTAAAAATTACGAAGTTATTTGTGGGTAAACTAACAAAGGTGCACCAGTGACTGAAATAAACTCATGGAATAAGTTTCATGGGGGAGTTAGGTGGGGGGAGAGGGATTGGAATTTCCAAAAGGCTAACATTTTACTCCTTTTTAACATTTGAAATGCTCTGTTGTAGTCCCGAAGAATTCTCATCACATAGTATATGCCAGACTATAAAATACTTATTTTTAAAATGAAATCTATATATTGACTTTCTTATCAATCATCTTACTGTGCAATCGAAATTAGAGTTCTTTGGTTTGAAAACAACATTTGGAGCCTCCAAATGACTTTTTAAGACTTATTTAGCTTTGTGGGTGGTATTTTCATGCAAATAAGTAAGGGTGGGTTTTATATTTTGTAGAAGTTTTTGGTCCTATTTTAATGTTCTTTGTATGCCGGTATGTATATAGTGTGTTAAATTCCTCAAAACTGTCCTTAAAAAAAAAAAAACTTTGAAGTTAATACTTTTGTGCAACTGTGTTTTGAATAAAGCCATGACAGTGTTAAAAACAAACAAAATGCAGCACTCCTGATTTTTCTTTTGTTTCTGACTGTTCCCTGATTTGTTTTTTCCTTCTGTGACTGATGTAACTTAAAAGTTTTTGAAATTGAATTGCTTCAAATAAATGGAAGATCTGTTGTTAATCTGTTTCAGCATATGACATTCACTGTTTGAAAGCCACCATTGGGGGCTTTGAATGTCTTTTTAAAAACAAAACAGCTGGAAAGTTCTCAAACACTTGAACGTCCTATGAGTCATTACAATGTAATAGTTTAACTCAACAGCTGCCTTATTTATTCACTTTTGTCCAAGAAGCAGAAGAAATTCTGGATTTCTTTAACTTCCCTTTTGCAGTTGCAAATTGAGCCACTACTATTTGTATTTTGATTTGAAGTAATAAACTTTGTTTCTGACAGTTGACGCAACTTATCCATAGTTAACTAAAGTGATTGTAAACCTATCATACACCAATAGTTTTTTAAAGTGAATCCCAAGTTTTCATTTATACTGTATAGTGTTTATTTTCAGAATCCTTAAGATAATATGATACAAACATAACTCTCTCGTGTTTACCTTGAGTAAATCAAACCTGAACCAATATTTTTTCCCACTCTCTTTTGGTTATCCAGTGATAAGTGATTTTTAACATGTTTCATTTGTAGACAGCTCTGGAATGTGTCTTATAAAGTCAAGGCACACGCATGTCATGTTTTTTTTTTTTAATGTTTTATTTATTTCTAGGAGAAAGAGAGAGACAGCGCGAGCAGGGGAGGGTCAGAGAGAGAGGGAGTCACAGACTGAAACAGGCTCCAGGCTCCGAGCTGGCAGTCAGCACAGAGCCCGACGCGGGGCTCCAACCCACGAACCGCGAGATCATGACCTAAGCGAAAGTCGGACGCTTAACCGACTAAGCCACCCAGGCGCCCCAAGCATGTTATGTTTTTGTGATTACTCACAGTTTAATATTGGAAAGGTATTTTAATTACGGAACTCTGCTCCCTGAGAGATGGAAAATATTGGAGTGTATTCACTCAACTACAGAAATTGTTTATTGAAGTTATTATGTCTTTGTGTATGTGTTTTACGTCTTTAAAAAATTCGAGGGTGCCTGGGTGGCTCTGTCAGTTAAACGTCCAACTCTTGATCAGGTCATGACTTCCGCATGGGGCTCTGTGCTGACAGTGTGGAGCCTGCTTGGGATTCTCTCTTTCCCTCCCTCTCTCTCTCTCTCTCTCTCTCTCTGCCCCTCTCCCGCTCATGCGCACAAGTGCATCTGCTCTCTCTCAAACTTTAAAAAAGTTCAGAACCTTTTAGCCATTGGTTAAAGAAAATGATAGGACTACACTAAAAGTTTTTGATGATGGCATTAGGTAATGAAACGATCTGAGACATTGTGATTCAAAACACAAATATTGTTTATTCCTTCTTCTATATTTTTAAGAGAGGCTTTGGAACAAGCGACATTCTTCCAGCGGCTGAAGATTCCGCCTCTGTTCCTAGTACTAGCGATGATACTCTGCAGCTGTTGCTTAATAATAGCATTCTACTACTGCTTTCCTTTTTTATGTGCTAATGAGCCTAAGATTTGAAAACCCGGCGTGGGTAATAGGTAATTTGGCCCGAGGCAACTCCTTGTGTTAGTCTGTTGATCAGCCCTAACTTCAAGGAGAACGGGTTATACCACAAAATGGAAATTTACAAAATGAGTTGATCTCCAGGAAAGTCTTTATAAAGAGACTTTCTATACTGGTAAAATAGTTGCATTTCATACATACATAGTCAGTTTTTTGGGTGGTAAGACTGAAACAGGGTGACCCCATAATAGCAATTCTAAGAATCAGAAGCAACTATCATTTCTTCAGATTTATGAATATTTACAAATAAATTTTTGCTAAGGCATCATTTGGATCTGGTTAGTCATAAAATGCACACTTCCACATTACTGGTCAATACTGACACAGGCCATCAAACAGGCACACGCCATCGGTGGGGGGGAAAACCATTCTAGCCCTTAGGAAGGAACGTTAACACTAAATACGTCCCTATTTTCTGTCATCCTCCAATTAAACATTTAGAGGACACCATCTTGCAGATGAAGGCCATAATCTGTGCCTCCACTTCAGTGTGATAAACTCACTCCCCAGCTCCAGAATTAGCTCACTGAAGCTACTGGATTTCTCTACTTGGCATTTTTTCCAAGTCTTCTGTTGGCAAAGAGAAGCCAGCGACAGTGTGCTCCGGGGAGCTCACTGTCACCTATCTAGACAGCAGTTACTGAGGAAGATTGGGGTTGGTAGAAAAATCTTTAAGTGTAACGGCAGGAACCACAGTTGAAGCAACTATACTTCTTAAGAACCAATGACAGCAGCACCAGAGGAAACTAGCATCTGCAAGGGAAGCAGCAATTAACAATCACTCCGCGGCTCTGGCAGAGAAGTCCCTGCAAGTCCAGCACTTTTAGCTATGCATCCCCCCTTCCTTTTATGAGAGTATTAGGAGTTAAGAATAAATTCATTTCTGCTGTGGTGAGGATCTGTTCTTTGTAGGAAGTGAGTGAAATTTTTTGACTAGGATCCCAGGTGAGCAGTCTTATTTTTACTAAGGTATCTATAATAGGATATGTGGAAGGGATATCCTTTTTTTTAAAATCGTTTTGACATATCTGACATTTTATCTTTTTGCGCTGTTTTCTTTCCCACCGCCAAGGTTCCTGGAATAGAGCTGAAGCAGTCAGCACTCCTCACTTCTTGAGTTTCTGTCGTCGCCTGTCACACTCCTCTGGGGCGACTGATTACCTACCACGCCGTGTAGGTAATCTTATCCCAGCATCATTACTTTAGATAGAAAGCTTGAATAAACAGAGCGATTTTACTGAAATGATTAGACTGGAATAAAGTTATCTTCTGGGGGCACATTTGGAGGTGTTCTCCATCACAGTCCTATGGGAGACTGGTCTCCTAGAATGTTTACCTTAATTTCCCCCATTCCTCAACCCCTGAAATATAAACCAGTTTTTCTTTTTTCAGAGTACTATTTTTACAAGACGCCCTCCAGTGCATCTAGAGTCTCCACCAGTAGAAATCGGATTTGAGCGTCTTGGGGAGAGAGCACCAAGCCTTGGAATTAGAGAAATGAAACCCTAATTATGGAGAAGAAGACATAAAAGGGGCCAATCACTCCAGACCGTGCCCCTAACTTGATTCGCGGGACGCGCAACAAGAAGTTCTGCAAAACCACATCCTCAGACCCCAAAACAGAATCCAAGGGCCAGGAGATTAAAAGGAGGTCCGGCCTCTGGTCGAACGGGGGCTACCCGACTGGGTCTGCAAGGGCGCTTTCCGAAACGCCTTGGATTGGGCCAGAAATGCCGCAGTCCCGGTCACGTGCTCGCACAGCCCCGCCCCTCGCCGCCGAAATAAACAAGGCCGACGCTTGCCTGTAACTTTCAGTCAGCGAGCTGCGCAGGCGCGGTGCGAGCGGCGAAGTCGCGCTGGGAGGTCCTGGCGCCAACGGTCAGCAGAAAAGAGTCATTGGTCCTTCTGCCGCTTCCTTCCGCCCGCCGGGTCCGCTCCGCTGCCGCCGTGGGAAACTCGCCGGACAGGTCCTTAGGACCTCTCTCTCTTTCATTCATTCTTTTACATTTTCCAGCCTTCCCTTAACGATTTACAGAGCTTTTGTGTTCAAAATTTGAATTAGTCTTAGGCTCCACGTTCATGAGTATCATCCAAGTTGGTGTGTTATGTACGTTTTCGTGATTTCTAAGGTGGCAGTGCGGCTGGAGCTGGGGACACTTTGCTGCTGCCTCGTGTGTGTGCATGTTCAAGTTTGCATTCGAGTGACCTTTGTTCGTGAACTTTGCTTCTTGCCTCTAGGAGCTAGGCTGCTATTCGGTGGTGGTCCTAGCTTCATTTTCCGCATTTACAGCCCAAACTGTGGATCTGGGTCTTAATAGTTCAGTCAAGTTGGTACCTAAGGACCAATCAGTTGTGGAAAATATTAGAGCATCCAGTTACTTACAGGCAAAGCACTGGAAAATGATACTTAGGCCACAAGTAAAATGACAAAAGTTTAAGACAGATTGAGCCTTCCCCCCGCCCCCCTTGCTCCTAAAAGGAAAGAACGGTTCCATTGGAGAAATTTTATAAAGGCTGAGCATTTATTTTTCTCTTTTAGGTAGGGCAGCTAAATTGCAGTTTGTTAGAAGTGGCTCAAAACGATCGAAGAAAAACTGTCATCAAATTATACTTTCTATTGGAATTAGTAAGTCACCTTTCATTTTACATAGTATTTGTGCGTACACAAGTTTTTAAAAATGTTTTTAATTTTTGAGAGAGAGAGAGTGCGTGTGCACAAGTATGGGAAGGGCAGAGAGAGAGAGGGAGACATAAACTCCCAAGCAGGCTCGAAATGGCGCTGTCAGTACAGAGCCCGACGCGGGCCTCCAATCTACAAACTGGGAGATCGTGACCTGAGCCAATCCTGGACGCTCAACCAACTGAGCCACCCAGGCGCCCCTGTGTGTAGTTTTTACAAAAATAAAGGATGCTGGGCCGCTTGGCTGGCTCAGTTGGTAGAGCATGGGACTCTGGATTTCTGGATTGTGAGTTCGAGCCCCACTTGGGGTGTAGAGATTACTTAAAAATAAAATCTGAGTTTATAGCAGCACTCTCAACAATAGCCAAAACATGGAAAGAGCCTAAGTGTCCATCAACGGACGAATGGATCAAGAAGATGTGGTTTATCTATATGATGGAATACTACATGGCAATGAGAAAAAATGAAATCTGGCCATGTGTAGCAACATGGATGGACCCTGAGGGTGTTATGCTTAGCGAAATAAGTCAGAGAAGGACAAATATCATATGTTTGCATGTATAGGAGGATTAGGAGGAACTTAACTGAGGAACAAGGGGGAGAAGAAGGGGGGAAATGGTGGGGGAAAGGGAGAGAGGCAAACCATGAGAGAATCTTGAATGCTGACAAAAACTGAGGACTGATGGATGTAGGGGGGAGGGGGGGGATGGGCATGGAGGAGGGCACTCGTGGGGATGAGCACTGGGTGTTATGTGGAAAGTAATTTGACAATAAACTATTTGTAAAAAAAAATTAAAAATAAAAAATAAAATCTGAAAAAAAATTAAAGAATCGGTTTGTTTCTGTAGAATTAGCAACTCAATTTTTTTGTAAGATTTTATTTTGACTTAAAATTTAAAGTTTATTGTGAGAGAGACAGTGCAGGCAGGGGAGAGGCAGAGAGAGGGAACAGAGGATCTGAAGCAGGCTCTGCCCTGACAGCAAAGAGCTCAAAGCAGGGCTGGAACTCATGAACTGTGAGGTCATGATCTGAGCCAAGAGCCACCCAGGTGCCACATACGATTTTATTTTTAAGTAATCTCTACGGCCTGCATGGGGCCCGAACTCACAACCCAGAACTCCAGTCGTATGCTCTACCAATTGAGCCAGCCAAGCACCCCTATAAATGTTTTAACTCTAGTAAATCCAATGCCAATAATGTCTCAGGGTTTTTCTTTTTTCTTCCTTCCTTCCCTTTTTTTTTTTTTTAAGTAATTTTTACACACAACGTGGGACTCAAACTCACAACCCTGAGATCCAGAGACACATGCTCCACCAAATGAGCCAGAGAGGTGCCCCTACTCAGCTTTTTCAGTGGCTTTTACAAAACAGTCACAAATTTGGGTTAAATGAAGACCAACTACTTCATTTAAAATACGAAATGAGAACATACCTGGATTTTAAGAAGCCAAGATTTTCTGTTGGGTAACAGCATCTCTCAGAAAAGGAATTTCCTATCGGCAGGGTACATATTTAGGAGTAAGTTTCTGCTCCCCTCCTTGTATTGAGAGATTGTGTTTTTAGCATTGTTTTGGTGCTGCCACAGTACTCAAAAATAATTATTGGGGCACCTGGGTGGCTAAGTCAACCAAGTGTCCCACTCTCAGTTTCAGCTCAGGTCATGATCTCATGGTTTGTGAGTTCAAGCCCCGCTTGGGGCTCTCGGCTGACAGCGCGGAGCCTGAGATTCTGGGGTTCTCAGGCTTGGATTCTCTCCATCTCTCTGCCCCTTTCCGCTTGTGTGCATGCTCTCTCTCAAAGTAAATAAACATTTTAAAAAATCTCTACAAAAATAATTATAAATGGGAGGTTGGCAATGAATTTTTTTTTTTTTTTTTTTTTTTTAACCACTGGTAGAAACTACTTGCTGAGAAAGGGGCTTTTGCCCTCTGGTCTGTATTAAGAGGCCAAACCATTACACGGATGTCATGATAAATCTTTTCTTTTTGTGTCATCTATTTTTCCCTTCCGCCACTATTTTGAATCAGCCATGAGGTTGCTGTTGAAGTTCAGCGATGAATAAGAGGTCATATCATGTAGGATAACAGCATAATGATGAAATATCAATTCTGTGGTCTGTCTCTAAGGCTCTGTCCTTAATAGTAAGATTCACTATGCTGTAACGGTTGTGAAGCTATCACTCCATGTTGGCAACTCATTGTTTTTAGTTCACGTGCTTGTGATTTACTTTCTCTCAGGTTTTTACGTGTTCAGCCTTCACAGGTCATTTATAATGACCTGGTGAAGAAAAAAAACCAATGGAATGGTTATGTACACATAGTAAGGAGCTCTAGAGCTATGATCAAAGGCATAGCTCAAAAATCAAGGATTGTTCATTTAACAAACTGTTTAGAAAAATTTACATCCGAGTTAGCATAGAGTGCAATAATGATTTCAGAAGTAGATTCCTTAATGCCCCTTACCATTTAGCCCATCCCCCCTCCCACAACCCCTCCAGTAACCCTCTGCTTGTTCTCCATATTTAAGAGTCTTATGTTTTGTCCCTCTCTCTGTTTTTATATTATTTTTGCTTCCCTTCCCTTATGTTCATCTGTTTTTATCTTAAAGCCCTGAGTGAAGTCGTATGATATTTGTCTTTCTCTGACTAATTTAACTTAGCATAATACCCTCTAGTTCCATCTATGTAGTTGCAGATGGCAAGATTTCCTTCTTTTTGATTGCCAAGTAATAATCCATTAAATATATGTACATCACATCTTCTTTATCCATTCATCCATCAAAGGACGTTTGGGCTCTTTCTATTGTCGATAGCGCTGCTATGAACATTGGGGTGCATGTGCCCCTTCGACACAGCACACCTGTATCCCTTGGATAAATACCTACTAGTGCAATTGTTGGGTCGTAGGGTAGTTCTGTTTTTTTTTTTTTTTTAATGTTTTATTTATTTCTGAGAGAGAGAGACAGCGTGAATAGGGGAGGGTCAGACAGAGAGGGAGACACAGAATCCGAAACAGGCTCCAGGCTCTGAGCTAGCTGTCAGCACAAAGCCCGATGTGGGCCTCGAACCCACGAACCATGAGATCATGACCTGAGCCAAAGTTGGACACTTAACCGACTGAGCCACCCAGGCGCCCCAGGGTAGTTCTGTTTTTTTTTTTTTTTTAATGTTTTATTTATTTCTGAGAGAGAGAGACAGCGTGAATAGGGGAGGGTCAGACAGAGAGGGAGACACAGAATCCGAAACAGGCTCCAGGCTCTGAGCTAGCTGTCAGCACAAAGCCCGATGTGGGCCTCGAACCCACGAACCATGAGATCATGACCTGAGCCAAAGTTGGACACTTAACCGACTGAGCCACCCAGGCGCCCCAGGGTAGTTCTGTTTTTACTTTTTTGAGGAACCTCTATACTGTTTTTCCAGAGTGGCTGCACCAGTTTGCATTCCTAGCAGCAGCGCAAAAGAGATCCTCTTTCTCCGCATCCTTGCCAACATTTGTTGTTGCCTGAGTTGTTAATGTTAGCCGTTCTGACAGGTGTGAGGTGGTATCTCGTTGTTGTTTTTTTTAATTTTTTAATGTTTTATTTATTTCTGAGAGAGAGAGAGAGAGAGAGACAGTGTGAGCAGGGGAGGGTCAGAGAAAGAGGGAGACACAGAATCTGAAGCAGGCTTCAGGCTCTGAGTTAGCTGAGAGCACAGAGCCCGACGCAGGCGCGGCTCGAACCCACGAACTGCGAGATCGTGACCTGAACCAAAGTCAGACGCTTAACGGACTGAGCCACCCAGGCGCCCCTCATTGTGGTTTTGATTTTTATTTCCCTAATGATGAGTGATGTTGAGCATTTTTTTCATGTGTCGGTTGGCCATCTGGATGTCTTCTTTGGAGAAGTGTCTATTCATGTCTTTTGCCCATTTCTTCACTGGATTATTTGTTTTTTGGGTGTTGAGTTTGATAAGTTCTTTATAGATTTTGGATACTAACCCTTTATTTGATACGTCATTTGCAAATATCTTCTGCTGTTCCATCTGTTGCCTTTTAGCTTTGCTGATTGTATTCTTTGCCACGCTGAAGCTTTTTATTTTAATGAGGTCCCAATAGTTCATTTTTGCTTTGTTTCTCTCACCTCTGGAGACGTGTTGAGTAAGAAGTTGCCATGGCCAAAGTCAGAGAGGTTTTTGCCTGCTTTCTCCTCTAGGATTTTGGTGGCTTCCTGTCTTATGTTTAGGTCTTTCATCCATTTTGAGATTATTTTTGTGTATGGTGTAAGAAAGTGGTCCAGGTTCATTTTTCTGCTTGTCGCTGTCCAGTTTTCCCGATACCATTTGCTGAAGAGACTGTCTTTATTCCATTGGACATTCTTTCCTGCTTTGTCAAAGACTAGTTGGCCATACATTTGTGTCATTTAACAAACTTTTTAAGGATTTTATTTATTCATTATTATTTTTTAAAGGGGTGAGGGACTCAAGTGTCACGTGGAGGTCTAGGAGAGCCCCTTCCTAGGAAAAGGTAACTGGGAGGCCAAGTTATAATTAGAGCATAGAATTGGATCTGATGGTGCTAGATGGTCTTGGGGGATAATTTGTTGGTCTGGCAAGCTGGATGAAGCTACCGTGACCTTCATCTGGGTATACCTTCTTCATCATGTTAGTATTTATTGTATTTATTAGCATGTCTTTCCTCAGGAGTAAAAGACCAATGTGGTCAAATTCTTCTTCTGATTTTACGTAAACTGCTTTCTTCTATTAACATAGTTTGTATTAAAACAGGTTTTTAAATTTCTTTACCTCTTTTATATTTGGTTATGTTTGAGCACAGAGTAGTTAATCTTTGATTTACATGTGTCTAATCTCTTCACCCAAGCAGTTACTTTTTTATTGGGGGATAATACTACAATTGGCTAACTTTATCTATGATGTGTTTTTAAAAAATAAATATTTTTAATCATCAGTG